TCTGTGTAGCCCTGGCTGTCCTGGAACTCACTCAGTAGACCAGGATGGCCTCGAACTCACAGAGATCTATCTGCCTGCCACTGCCTCCCAAGTTCTGGGATTAAAGGTGTGTGCCACCACTACCTGGTGGCAAATTTTGTCATTTTTTTTTATCATCAGTTCTACGATAAGCATTTCTTGATATTCTGCTTTTTAGCCTTCTCTCCCACATATTACAAAGGATTTCTTTCCCTAGCTATGAATGTCTAGAAGGAAGGATACCAGTTCAAGTGAGGATAAAGGGAGATGCACAGAATCGATGTCACAATGCCCTTGACTCAGAGTAAGAAAGCAAACACTTACTGAATGTGTAAATGAATACGATTCCTTTACATCACTGCCAGAACCGGATTTATAGTCTCCCTTTGTATTCCTGAGTTTAGCTATCGCTTCTTTGCGATTTAAATGTAATATTACATCCATTTTTCATTTTGGAAAAGAAAAATATTGCACTATAAATCTACCTGCATTCACCCCTTGGGAAGACTTGGCAATATTTTAAGGCTATTTACATTCAAAGGCTAACTTGAAATAGGTTTGGAAAAGCAAGTTAGAATCAAATGACTTAGATTCTTTCGAGCACTGCTTCCATTCAGGACAAACTACTTCCCACTCTTGTTTCCAGAAATTTAAGTCAGGCTCAAGTGTATCCTCCCCTGCCTCCTTCAGTGGGTCTAGCTGAGGACCATCTGGGACCATGCTCATGCAGTTTCTATGAAAGCACACGACCCTAGAGTATTTTTGTGTCCTGGAACCGCCATAGTCATCTCCCTCCTCCCTCTCAGTCCTCAGGAATGGCTTACATTTTGTGCTTCGGAAATGTGGTAGTAAGGATAGTCGCTGTTGACCGACGGCTGGCCATTTGGAGAGAGCTGAGATGAAGGCGAGGCATGAGCAAAGCCCATCAGATGATTGTTCTTCGGGAAGCTGGCGGCCACCGGCGGCTGGCTGGCTTTGGAAGGCTCCTGCAGGTATCCTTCCTGTTCTACCTTCCGGCGCATGGTGGAATTCCAGTGATTCTTGATAGCATTATCAGTCCTGTGCAGAAATATACCACATACAAACTCCACCAAAATTTTAATTCATTGACGAAAAAACTGTTTCTACAAGAAATCTTCTTCATGGTTTCACTGACTAACTGCTATTTTCCCTTTTTAGTTGTTTTGGTCTTTTCTATTCTGTTGCCTAGTTGACAACCCATAGGTTTCTCTTACTACTGCAAGCTGGGATGTATGGAGTTTTCTGCAAATTTTGCTTCCTTTTTAGCATTCCGACGCCTTGATAAAGGCGTATGCTCAATATAATAACCCTTCCCTAGCCTCTGACTGTTCATGTGCTACTGGGCTTTAATACAACTTGAAGTCCCAGCTGTTATAAAGCCCTTGTGTTGTGGCTTTGAGCAGGGTTGAGACACTACAACAGGGACTTAGCTAAGCTTGAGAACAACAGTGATAAAGCCCCAGTGCCCACTCTTTACTTATAACTCTATCTACAAAGTTTGAATAAAAAAGTCTCCATCACCTTTTGGAAACCACCCCCATCATTCTTATAACTAGACAAAGAGGGTGATGCAGTAATGGCATTCTCTACCACCCCCAGCAGGATCCCAAATGAAAGATGCTAGCCCCAACATAGTTTCTGCCTTTTGGGAGGGGTGGGTGTTGTTTTCCTGAAACAGTAGTCTAGGCTGGCCTTGAATTCCAGATCTTTCGGCCTCTACGTCCCGAGCGCTGGGCATGATTACAGGCAGGTGCCGCCTACCACCCTTGACTACTTCGTCTAGTTTCAAACTGCAAAGTGTTTACTAGAAACTCTTTCCACTCTTGGGAAAAGTTTCTCAGCTCGAAAAAAGAAGAAACAAAAAAAAAAAAACATTCAAGACGCCTTTTTGCTATTTCCATGGGGGTGGGGAAATGTGTGTTTCAAAAGAGGAAGTTCAGATGCCCCTTTAATTTTTAGAAAAGTCGACAGCATGTCCTGAGGCCACATGGGAGGAAAGACCTCCTTTGACCAGATCCATGACTTCCTGAAGCTCTCAAGCCCGGAGAAGCAGGGGGAGAATGCTTTGGTGCTTGCTATCCCGGGACATCCTAAATAAGCCACCTCTGAAATGGTCTTTTGTCCCCTTCAGGGTTAAGACGCTCAAGAATAAAAATACTTAAAATCTTTTCATTCAAAAATTTATAGTGAAAGTATTTCTTGAAAACAGATAAAAATTAATTATATACATAATATTTAAATACAGACAAGGGGTCAAAGGTGAGCTTTCACAGTTATCCTTCACAAAGGGGTCATTTCCCTGTCTTGCTCAGTAAAAAGAAGACATGACACCGAATTTAGTTAAAAACCTGAAACAGGTATGGTAATTCTATACAGAATTGTCTATATTCTGTATGTTATATTACTATATTGCTATAGCAGAGGAATGACCAAAATGATTGCTGATCACTCAATTGGTTGGATGAACTCGGACTACCACCAATTTTCTGTGTTTTGGGTTTCCCTCTGGGTACCTGGAGTTCTTCCGCTTACACAATGCTTTGACGTTCGTGTTCCTTGACCCTAACATTAGCTCATGAGATAGATCATTAGTTATTTTGCAAATGGAGATGTGGAGGTTGAGGATACAAGGCTTGGCCCGAGGCTCATAAATATTAATTCCAAGATCTCCTCCACTTCTAAAACTCCCGACGACTCTGGTTTACCTAACAACACGCTTATGATTGATAGAATGTAATTCATCCACACACTCCAAATGTTCGATGGCCACCCCCTTGCTCTTCCCAATCAATATATGTTTTTGACCAAGAATTACCGTCCAGGCAGTAGCTTTGCGATTTCGGCCCATCTGTTCCCCAGTCTCTTGTGTGCCTGGTAGATGATCCTGTCTTCCTCTTCTGTCCAGGAGGTTTTCTTAACTTCTGGGTTCAAGTGGTTGTGCCACCTCTCCCGACACTGTTTTCCAATCCTCCCTTTTAAGTGCTTGGCAATCACGGACCAACGCTTTGGGCCGTATTTCTGTACAAGCTCGATCACCTTCAGGATAAACACAAAAATAGCCTGTGTTTTAATGCTCCAGAATGAGTCAGGGTCATCAAGCTTCAATGTTACAAGATCTTTAGAGAACTAAAAATATCCGCTTTCATCCATTGGACATACAGGAGCAAGCCCTTGACTTTCTGATTGTACGTTCCCATTGCTGCCTTGGGGGTGAGAAATGTGTTTTAGGAATACTCTTAAGTACCATTCACACATCGAACGGAAACAGAACTTACTCTCTGATCTTCCTCTTTGGTCCAGGGACCCTTGATGAGTTCAGGGTTTAGCACCTTCTGCCACCGGTGTTGACACTGCACATCCGTCCGGTTCTAGACAAAGAATGCACCATCACAAAGATGAATGTGATGAGTGCATGAAGACTTCATTCAATAGGAATTATAGGTGGACAATGCAAAGTGCAAACATTGAGGAACATTTAAAGGCATGTAGAGAGAGCCCACCTATCCTTCCCACACTGCTTCCAGACTAAAGACTGTATCTAAGTTGCAGCTAAGATTGGAGCCTGTGACTCATGAAGGAATAGTTGTGTTGCATGAATAAAAGGAACTTCTTATTGCACACATGTATACTGACTTAGCCTTAACCCAAGTCTGTGGTTTGTGTCTCCATGGCTTAAGGTGTGCTAGAGAGTCCATATTGCTAGGCTTCAATGAAAATCCACTTGAAAGAATTAAAGTGCCTCCCATTCAAACCAAAAGGCCACCAGCACTTATATTTAAGAGGAACAAAAACAGTAAAAGGTTCTCACTCTCTAAGAGTTTACAATCTTAGAAGAAGGGAAAGATAAACATGGAACTGATTATTACAGAAGGCTGAAACTGCAAGAAGAGAGAGACAGAAGCAAAGTGCTCTTAGGGTTAAGGAGAGGAGGACCCCTTAAGATGGGACATTCCTTCCTTCAGGGGCTCTTGATATGGCCTTTGGAGGATGCTCAGAACTTTTAACTGGGGAAGCAAGAAAGAACATTCTAGGGGGGCAAAATCACCAGGAAGAAAAGCCCAGAGGAGAAAAAGCAGAAATGAATACAACCAAACCTGCTTGTGGGGAGGAAGTAGGAAGCAGAGGGGGTAGTGGAGGGGGAGAAGAATGGAACCCTAAGTTGAGAGCAGATAGGGGAGCCTTCTGGTGTCAGGTCAAGGAAGTTGACTGACTTTGTGAAAATCTATGTCACCACTGGGGCTTTGTTTAATTGTTGTTGTTTGTTTATGTGGTGCAGGAGATCAAGAGCCCAGGGTCTCAGACACCCTAGGCAAGCACATTGCTAATGAGGAATGGCTGTCGTTTAGGAAGCTCTACCAGCTAATGGTGTCTGGATCTGGTGGAAAAAGCAGGAAGCCACTGTGAAAGAGAGGGCAGGGCGGCCACCCTGTGGCCAGACCGTAGGAATGAAAAGGATGAGAAGGACTGTAAAGGAATCCTAGGCTCCCAACTCATCATTTAGATGGGGGCTGGGAGGGTATAAGTCAAAAGGCACTATGGAATTTTAAACCCATATACCAAAAAAAATATGGCTTTGATAAAAATGGGGAATTTGGAAGCTAACTTGGAGAAAATACGAAGTTTAAAATTCTACCTTGTAACAGCCCATCAGAACGTTAGCTTATGTTATCAGGATAAGTTAAAACAAAACAAGAAGCAATTTTGGGGCGGGGGGGAATAAAAATCTCTTAATAGTATATTTAGAAACCTCAATTATATGTTGTGTAGTCAGAAATAAAAGTTATGGATAGGTCTCTCCCCCTTATGTCTACAGGAACAAATACACAGTATTTTAATAAACTCTCCAGGAACTTCTCTTTAAATCCAGAGGGGGATTTTTGGTCACAAAAGGAAACAATAACTAACTAACTTACCGGCAGGTAATTGGCGATCACTTTCCAGTCATCTGTCCCATTCTGTTCCACCAGCTTCTTCAGCTTTTCATCCTAAGGCATTTAAAGGCAATCCTAGGATATCAGTGGTCTACTGAATAGCGCTGTTCAAGTTATAATGAACAGAGGAGCCAACCTCATGATCCAACAGGGGAAAAATAGCTTCCAAAAGCACCCAAATAAAGCCAATATTAATGTAATAGACTGCTCTGAACACAGATTTAGTTACATGCACACTAAAGCTTTTACTCTGACACAGCTGTTGAATAGTTCTATAAACAGATTCATATCGTCATCTATAAAATAGGAATGGCAGAATCAACAGGGTTATCTGGAGATTACACAACAGCATTATGCAAAGCAGTGAAGGAAGCCTGGCATGTGTTAGTGTTTAATGGATGGTGACTGTTGACACTTTTCCTGAATGGCAGAAAGTGAATTCCAATGTGAAACTTAGTTGCCATTCAACTAGGGCAAGAGATGAGACTGTGAGTGAGACGTTTCCCATCAGCTCAACCTTATTCATAGAAAAGCCAAAAATACTTTACATATTTAAATTGCAGGTGTATTTAATTCAGTAAAGTCACTAAGGCTTTGTATCAATATGTTCAGAGTTTATGAATGACCAAATACATTGGAACATGGAAGAACATTCTCAGGCAGTTGGCTCTGTCAGCTCTATCAGCTCATCATCATACACTGGTCACCATTCTGCTAGATCCCACATGCCTTCATAAACATAGTTTTCCTGGTTTTCTGCAATGAGACCATTCACACATAATTCAAGACAGACAGGAACTGGGAAACCATGGTTAACAACAGAGCTTCCATATCCCAAGGGAGCAGCCCAGTGCCTGATCTTGGTAGGTGGGACATGCATTTCCTAGGTGCTTCCCTGGGAGTCTTGCCCACCTGTTCTCAGGAGCTCCCAGTTTTAGAACACAATGAATTCCATAGTTCAATAAAGAAGAAGAAGAAACCTTTCTTCATACATTAATGATTTTGTTCTTCAAAGAAGTGGGTATATCTTCACCCATTACTGGATGTCTTTAGAATAATCTTTCACATACATAGGTCTGTGAAGTATCATATATAAAGAATATTAGATGTATATATTATGGCACGATGAATTCTATGACTGCTCTAGTTTATGAAGTAGCAATGCATTAATTTATCTAGAGAACATTTGTTACTATCCTACATTTTAGCAAGTGATTTTGGGTTCAAGGAACACAAAGATGAAGAGACACTTTAGTCTCAACCCTCAAGAGATGTGCTGTGAGTGTGTTGGGAAAGACATACTTTATTGATGTACCAACATCAATAAAGCCAAGCATGCACTCAGTGCCATGGGAACACAAGAGGGTGCAAAGCCAGCCCTAAAGATGGCAGCCAGTAATAATTTCACAGGACCCATGATGTGTTAAGACATAATGAAAAAGTATAAAAAGTGGTGGGGCTCCAGAATGAGAAATCGACAGGCAAAGAATAAAGGGGAAAGCTGAGAACATTCATAGAACAATAAATGATTTGGAAACAGATAGCAGAAGGAGCATGTTGGCAGAGGTAAGGGGGGGACATTCTATATGGCATGCCAGGATAAAGTCTCCAAGTGTCTTCAGATGAGCACAGGCAGTTGAGCTAAAATTTCGGTTTTCACCCATTACAGACTTGACAGTTTTCTTCACATGTTTTAATAAAAATGACTAGTTACCTCTTCCCTGGTCCACCTAGTTTTCCCCAAGTGACGCTTTCCAGATTTGGGAAGCAGCCCATCATAGTCATGGTCACACATCTCAATGTCTTCATCGTCCTCATCGCTACTGTATATGCTGCAGAAATAAGAATGGACAGACATGGGCTGGAAGCAGAGGATCCAAACTATTGGATGATGAAACTCACACAAAAACTCTTCAGTGAGCTTTCCAAAGTCTACAAAGACCAAAACTTGGCAAACTTGCGCAATGAGGTTATTTTCTGCATTCTGTTGCTGTAGTGTTTGTAAACTGGTTCTGCTGTTACTGGTATCCACAGAGACACCAGGAGCCCTGGCACTTTCTCCTGCTCTGCATGTTTGAACCTGCTCATACTGTTAGACCAGTGACAAAGTTACACATCTGGCAACTTCCCAACCAATGGACGCCGAAGTGTAAAGCTCAATGTTAAGGACAATCAAAGGAACAAGAGCCCACGTCCTTTTATATAAGTGCATACTCAAACTCCTTGGCATATGTCAAATCACTTAAATAGTTTCTGAACACAATGAAACAATCAATTATGTCCTAATAGAGCTGTATTCTGTTTAAAAAAAATCAAGACAGAATACATTCAAAAGCGTAATTGTGATCGTCCCTTAAAGGCCATAATATTAGCAGGAAAAACAAAAAACCAAAACCAAAACTTAGGCGGGGGGGTTTCAAGACCCAGGAAAGGATACAGCCATCACACTGTTTTGTGATGAACACAAATAGCAAATCATTCAAAACTGAAGGTCTGGCCGACCCAACTCGTGGCTGTGTTTACAATGCTGTTTCCAAAGTAACTAAGCACATTACTGGGGTACTGACTAGTCAGAATCCTACCTACTCTTGTTTTCTCTGTCTCTGACTGAATGGTGTCTAAAATATCTTACAATGTACCTAATTAAAAACCAAGGGGTTCCCCCCGACCAAATCTACAGGTTAAAGAAGTTACTGTTTTCAAAACAGCCTTTTCTTTTACTGAGTTGAGTAACACTGTGAGTTCTGATGACTGCTGAAGTAATTAACTCCAAACTTATCAATCAGACACCGAACAGAGTCATTTTGCAGTCTAGTTTTAGTTATCATAAAACTTAAGATATGAAAATTATACACTTAACAACTTCACTAAAATTCACCCTTGTAAAACCAAAAAACCCATCAAATCCAGACCAATAAAATGATATAAAACAATTATCATATGAAAATTATTTTTTAAAAAAGCAAACATATTCATAATAGGTTTTGTCTTCTTGTACTAACTCACTAAGTGTACATTTCCAGCTCCTACAAGTTAAACAAAAGTGTTTACCAAACCCCTAAATAGTGATCCTTATCATTTAAAACTATTATTTTGGGCAGCAAGCTAATGGTTCTGTGTTACACATTGGCAGGATGTGCTCTAACCTTAAAATAACATCACCAAAAAAAAAATCCCACTAAACTATATTCATTTTTTTTCCACTTAGTGTCAATCCTTTGAACCAAGAACAGTTTTCTTTTCTACAGTAAACAGGAGACAGTAATAATAATTAAAAATTTTCCTCTTCATATACAACAGTGTTATAAAGACAGGAAGGAAGGAAGGAAGGAAGGAAGGAAGGAA